AAAAACTTGATAATGTGTTACTTTGTGATGGTTTTTCACCTAATGATGCTGATAAATGTGTGTACTCTAAGTTTGAAAATGGTGATTGTGTCATTATATGCTTGTATGTGGATGACATGTTAATCTTTGGTACATGCAATGAGATTGTCGCTAGAACTAAATTGTTTCTAGGATCAAAATTTGAAATGAAAGACATGAGTGAAGCCAATGTGATTTTTTATATTAGAATCATAAGAGGGAGATAGTATATTACTATCTCAAGAACAATACATTGAGAAACTTCTTAAGAAGTTTGTGTTTTATGACTTAAAACCAGTGAGTACTCCTTATGATGCTAATTATAAATTAATGAAAAATAAAGGAGAATCATTATCTCAGCCTCAGTATGCCTAGATAATTGGGAGCTTACTACAATTGATGAGCTTTTCTAAACCTGATATTGCTTATGCAGTAGGTAGACTGAGTAGGTACACTCAATGTCAAAATCAGGAACATTGGGATGCACTTGCTGGGCTTATGAGATACTTAAGAGGTTAAATGGATTATGCCATTGAATACAGTGGATTTCCTCGCTGTACTAGAAGGGTATAATGATGCTAACTGGATCTCTGATTCAGATGAGACAAAATCCACTAGTGGTTATGTATTCACAATTGAGGGTGGTACGATTACATGGAGATCAACCAGACAAACAATTATTGCAAGATCAACAATGGAATCTGAGTTTGTCGCTCTTGAGATGGCTGGTAGTGAGGCTGAGTGGTTGAAAAACTTCTTAGCAAACATTCCACTGGGAATGAAACCAACCCCACCAGTGTCAATACACTGTGATTGCCAATCGACAATAGTTATAGCTAAAAACAAAAATTACAATGAAAAGAATAGACATATTCAATTGAGACACAATTTGGTGAAGCAGCTGCTAAAGAGTGGAACTATTTCCATTGATTATGTGAAGTCAGAACGGAATCTAGCAGATCCTCTGACAAAACCCTTGGGAAGAAATATGATCTTAGAAACATCGAGGGGAATGGGACTTAAGCTACTTGCAAACAAACAAGTGATGGTAACCCAACCTTTGTGATTGGAGATCCCATGAATAAGGTTCATATGGGTAAAAACAAGTCACTTGTTAATTCTGATAGCACTAAATTGATTTTAATCATTTATGTCCATTCCTATGGTGTGTGTGAAAGTGCTAGAGACTGCATTATTGAGAGGCTAAACTTAGTTATTGAAATTCTATGTGGTGAAAGAATTTTAGCTTAAACAAAGTTTTTAATGATTTTCATATCCCTTATGGGTGGTGTATGATTTGCAGCACACACTTGATGAAATCACCTATATGAGTGTCGAGTGGGGCCGCTTGCATGAGATCGTGGCATGATCTCTAGAACACTCATGAATACCAGGCACGCGCATGGCCTAGTAAGCGCAACACAGCGATAACAACAAGGATTGTGGGGGTGTATTATGATTGATAAACCTCTAACACACGTCAAGTGTCTTTGGTTCATATAGCTTGCTATACCAACTACAATGTGTGTTAAGTATCTCAATCTAAGACTTGTTCATATAGCTTGCTACCAGCTCTGATGCATTACAGCCTATGAGACCCAAAATAAAAGTTTCTTATCTTTCTTTTAGTGTTTGAACTATTTGAGTCAAAGAATTTTCTTTAAACTTCTTTTGCAATAAGTGGGGAATTGTTATAATATATTAATAATATATTATTGCAAAAGTTAATGTGTGGTTTAAAAACATTAAATTGTGAGCTTGATTTTTGGAACGTTTTTTCTTTCAACGTTTAATTTTTTTTTAATTAAATCATTTATGAATTTTTAATTTCTTTTATTTTCTTGATTCTTTCTAGCTCTATAAATAGGGAGCTCATTCCCCATTTCAAAACACACCAAATTCAGTCTTTCTCATTCTCCTCTTTTCTGAGTTTCATTCTTTAACTCTTTCTCTCTTCTAAAATTATTTTGGGTTATTTTATATTCTTTTGAGAGATCCTTGCTAGTTCTGAGATCCTTAGAAATATTCTGGAAAATTCTGGGAAGTTCCTGTTGTATTCTGGGAGACTTGCTTAACAACCACAGATAAGTCCTTAAAGACTCTGAACGTCTCAGAAAATTTTGTTTGTGATTATGTCAACCTTTTACAACATTATTTAAGCAATAATTTAAATATCTATACTTTGTGAATTATGAAATGAAATAATAAAAACTAACAGTGGTGTTTGAAAACGACAAATGTGAAGAGTTCATACTCAACACGGTATGTTTTGAATATGAGTTTTTATTTTCATCAATAGTTTTCGTTCCATGTCCTCTTAAGAAATATTTAGAAGTTCTTAAAGGTTATGAGTCATTTTAGACGTTATAAATCCTTTAGAGTGACTTGATTTGAGTTTTTCAAGGATAAAAATCATTATAGATCGTGTTAAATGTATAATTTACCAACTTGTTTTTTAAAAGTTAAAACAATTTGCATATTTAGATGTCCTTGGTAGGATTTCTTTGATTTGCATCATATAAATAATTTATAGAAAATATTTTCTAAAGTCTCTCATTTTACTACCTAGGATGCTCTGCTCTTTATCCAACACTTTGTCTTTGTTTTAGCAAGTTACATTTTTTTAAACTTTCAAAGAAAACAACATATGATACTTCGAATAATAATAATATATATTTAATGAGAATAAAAAAATGTTGAATCTCGCTATCTTATTAATTTCATGAGTTTAGATATACTTAATTTACTGAGACCTTAGATCATATTTATTAGTTTAGACCATATTTAGTGTCTCAAAATATGTTTATTTACAAGTTTAAATGATCTTAATATATTGTTCTAATATTTTTATATAAATAAACTATTATTTTTCTCTTTTTTATCAACTAACTACTTTTCACATCTTTTAATATTAGTTTACATTATAAAAAACATAGTATTTAATCTTAAATTTAAATCATGAAATGCTAAGAATGAGTAATACTCAAAATACACTCCAACACTCATTGGACATTTACATAGCATAAAGACGATAAACCACTTGATAGAGTCCATAGATATTTACACAGTAAATCGCTTTTTTTTTTTTATTGTAAATAAAGTAAGATACAATTTTTCTCTAGTTGGTTGATTATTTGGGTTCTTGATAATTGATTTATATGATTCAATTTCAATTAAACATTTTGATCACTTAATCACATTTAGAAATTTGATTTTATTTTTGTACAGAGAAACATTTGTTGAGAAGAGAAAATTATTTAAATAATTTCAGTATATTAGAATTAATGCATAGTTTTTAACTGAAATATAAAATTTAAGAATAGTCCGTATTCACAGAAAAAAAAATAAGAAACAATGTAAACTATTCTTCTATTACTATAAAATGTAAAGTGGCAAATATTAATCAACAGGGGCTGTAGCTCATATGGTAGAGCGCTCGCTTCGCATGCGAGAGGCACGGGGTTCGATTCCCCGCAGCTCCACTCGACATTTATTTTACATTTTAATTAAAATCATAAATATTTAATGTATGATAAAGTTCTACACGATCAATCTTTTTATTTAAAAATAAAATATTGAATTATTATAATTCAATTATGTTTCGACTGGATCCGGGCGGACCCCGCAAAAACACACTTGAATTGTGAACGAACGTCGTAGGAAGTCGATGGCGTGCGGACGGTTGATTGATGACGGGCAGGCGAACGCTTGCGGCTCTTCCAGTGGATTGGACGGACGGCACAAAGGCGGACTCCAAGTTGGGCGGACGTCCTCCTACTCCAAGCGCTACTCCACACTCCCAGTTGGGGAGGGGCCGGGTACCTGCTAAAGGCACTCCGACGCTCAAGTCAGTATTATGACAGAGCGATTGTAATGCGTGAATGCATCGTTATTCAAGTTAGTCCAGAGTTCATACCTGAGACCTTTATTTATAGCGAATTGTAATGGGCTTTTACCTTTTGGGGGCCTGGGGACGGCCCAATAATACCTTAATCTTCGTTAAGGACTTTAATGTGTCATTAACATTTAACCGTGTAATCAGCAACGTGCGTCGGTTGGGAATGATGGTCGGTCAGGGATGTTATCCTAGGTGGGCGTCCTGCTCTCGGGCGGACGTCCAATCCTTGGGCGGACGTCCAGCTCTTGGGCGGTCGTCCACTCCTTGGGCGGTCGTCCACTCCTCGGGCGGACGTCCAGCACTTGGGCGGTCATCCACTCTTTGGGCGGACGTCCAGCTCTTGGGCGGTCGTCCACTCCTCGGGCGGACGCCCAGCTCTTGGGCGGACGTACAATCCTTGGGCGGGCGTCCGGCTCGTGAATACGCCCGGATTATTAGGCGGACGTCCACTTCTTGGGCGGACGTCCAGCTCTTGGGCGGACGTACAATCCTTGGGCGAGCGTCCGGCTAGTGAATGCGTATCAGATTATTGGGCGGACTGGCGGATGACGGACGTCCTTGGACGGACGTCCGGTTCCTAAGGACGCTCGGTCCAGACTGTTTGGCAGACGTCCGGATTATTGGGCGGACACACCAACTAAGGCGGACGTCCACTTCTTGGGCGGACGTCCAGCTCTTGGGCGGACGTTCTACTTTGGGTAGACGTCCTCTATCGGTACATATGGCGCCGTCTATGTGGGCGTCCTTCCGTACGGCATCCGGCACCTCTGGTACAAATTAAAATTTTAAATCATAAAATTAAAAGTATAAACCAACAACTATAAAAATTTAATTTTACAGAAACCTATTACTATCTAAAAGATATAATTAATAAAAAATAAATAAAATGATACAACATAATAAGATTCATTTGAAATAAATTTCAATGATCTTACGTTCACAACACTTATATAACCGAATGTTTTTATGATAAATACTTGAACCTTTTGCATTTGTTTTTTGTACTTTGTTTTTTATTTTTTAATCATATTAGTGATTACATTCACCATTTTTCTTTTTGTAGACCTGTATTACAGATAAGAATGAGAATCCAATAATTTGTGATATTGTTGAAGACTCACATCATCCATGGCCTCTGCTGCTTCCATTCCCTCATCATCACAACCAGAATCATCAATGGTTCGTTCATCTAATATTTTTAGCATCAAAGAATTAGCAGAATCAAAAGGAGATTCTTCTCTCATCCCTTCCACCTACCACTCCATCTCACAACTCCACGAGGATGATGATGATGATGTTGCAGAATACCTTGCATCTTCCATCCCAGTCATTGATTTTTCTCACCTCACTTCGCACCACCCTCAGACTCACTCCAAAGCGGTGCACCTACTCGGCAAGGCCTGTGCCGAGTGGGGTGTCTTCATGGTAAGAAAGTTGGAAACTTTCTCTTTCTAAATCTTATGACAAAAAAAATCCCAACTCAGTAATCTTATTGATCATTCTCACTCACTTGCTTCTCAGCTCACAAATCATGGAATTCCGGAGAACCTGGTGGAGAAGTTGATGGAAAAATCTCGCGAGTTTCATGATTTGCCGATAGAGGAAAAAAAGGAGTTTGGGGACGACAAGAGCCCTCTTGAACCCATTAGACTGGGCACAAGCTTTTGTCCTCAAGTAGAGAAGGTTCATTATTGGAGAGATTATCTCAAGGCCAACACGTTTCCTCAATTCAACTTCCCCCACAAACCACCGGGTTACAGGTATTTTAATTAACTTCAACTACTAATAGCTTCTTCAATCAATTAATCAACTGAACTCAACTCTGCATTATTTTATGTTCTGCGTGATTTCCCTGATATTACTGCAGGGAGGTTGCTTATGAGTATAGCCAGAAAATCAGAGAATTGGCTAGGAAGTTGCTAGAAGGAATATCAGAGAGTTTGGGATTAGCATCTAATTCCATTATTGAGTCAACTGAGTTTGACTCTGGCCATCAACTCTTCGCTGTTAACATGTATCCACCATGTCCACAACCACACCTTGCTCTAGGGTTGCCTCCACATTCCGACATTGGCTTATTGACCTTGCTCACGCAGAATGGAATTGGAGGGCTTCAGGTTAAGCACCATGGGAAATGGGTCAACGTTAATCCCCTTTCTAACTCCATAACTGTCATACTTGCAGATCAACTCGAGGTATGCCATGTTAAACAGCTTCAAAAAGCATACTTTTTAGAGAACAAATTAATATAGTAAAGAACGAAACTTGTAGAAATCTTGTATTTGGTTTGATCTAATGCAAGTATGCAATCCTTGGAATATAGGTTTTGAGTAACGGGAGGTACGAGAGCGTGTTGCACCGAGCAATCCTGAACAACGAGGAAACTAGGATTAGTGTTGTGTTGGCGAATGGACCTGCTCTAGATAAGGAAATTGGGCCTCTTGCGGAGCTATTGGAGAAGGAAAAGCCATTGTTCAAAAGCATGAAATACCAGGATTACTTCCAATTTCATCAGAGGACACGGCTAGATGATAAAAATACATTGTACGAGATTCGACTAAATTAATGCTCCACAATCATACCATGAACTAAAGTAAACCAGTTTAAGGATATGGGTATGGTTGATGTTAATGTTGTGTTCTGAGTGATGATAAACCGATTGTGTTTCTGGATTTGGTGTTTTCGTATAAATGAGATACGGTTACATTTCATGCTGGTGTCACCAGCTAGGTTCTTTGGAACTTGGAAGGGTTTAAGGTACTGTAGAAGGTAAATATTTCAGACTTGATTTGTTTTTTGCTGTCATATTTTTCTATTATGTTGTTTTTGTCATCTTAGTTTCCCAGTCATGTGTATGATTTGTTGGTTGGACATTGTTTCTGAGCTATATTGTTGTTGCACTTTCATGACTGGATAAAAATGTAAATTTTTATTTCACGTATTTGAGAGGAGGTCAAAATAATATTTGAAAACAGGGGAGTGTCAGGTAAAACAAAAATTTACATTTGTTAATGTTATCAGGCATGTGTTATTTGAAAACAGAGGAGTATCTATTACTCGTTGCAAGTAAATTAGGGAACATTATTATTTTAAAAAATTCTTAATGTCCACGCGTTGTTTATAAATTTTGATATTGTTTTTTTTTTTTTTTTGAGGATTTGGATTTGATATTGTTGAATCTATTTTTGGTGAACTAATTTAAATATATTTTTGGTGACTTGATATGCTTTTTTTTTTCAGTTGAATTAATAAATAATTATTTTTTGATCTAAATTATAGAGTGTATCTATGATTAAGACAAAATTAATTTATAACTCGTTTATGCCGTGGATTAATTTCAAAAATGTATTTAATTTAATAAATTATCTTTTTATGTGAATATCAATAAAAAATTATATATTTCGTTTTAATGATCATATTTTTTTGTGTGTTTTTAAAAAACGATGGAGGGTGCAAATGAAAATTAAATGTAGTTAAGAAAAATGACAAAGATGAAGATGAATAGAGTAAACATGCGAGAAACATAATTAAAATGAAAAAAAAATGTAAATTGAAAATAAATAAATTACTAAGGATAGAAAAGAAATGGACAAAGGAAATCAATACAAATGGTGATACAAATTGTAATAAACATGATTACTAGATTTTTCACACTTTAGTTCAAGACGTTTTTAGAGAATTCATGTTATAGATACATTTTATTACCTTTCTTTTTTAAAATATGGATAACCTAATTTAATTCATTTTTTTACGTCAAAATAAAATAAAATAAAATTACATAATTTACAATAATTGTTTAAAATCATTCACGTGTAAAATTATGTCTATTAAACCTATGTTTACCATATGTTTCTAATTTTCTTTTGATCTTATGTAATTTATCTTTTTTAATTTTGTCCAGTGAACGTCTTTCTCGATACATTTTTTTTAGTTTTGGATCATTCTTCAATTTCCAATTCTATGTTGGCCTGTTTGGATTTCCATTTTTTATTCCTTGTGTAACCATCACTCTCTTAATCTTGTCATTAATATCTTAGTCTTTTAATGTACTTATTTTGATATTCTCCTTCAATCTCTCCACTTTGTCTCAATTTTGATATCTTGAATAAATATAATATATGACAACCTTTTACACATTCACACACAAAAACTATCCATTAAAAGAAAAAAATTCAAATTGTATATACAAATAAGTAAATCTGACTTAAAAGAACATAAAATACTATTGAGAATCGTCAAAAAAATTCTCAAACCCTAACTAGTGTGAGAAGAGTGTTTCTTTTTCCTCTTTGTTCTTTTACCATTTTACACTATTGGATTGTGAAAGCATGGGTGATAAAGTGTAGAAAGAAAATGATAGGATGCTCGAAGTAATTGCCGAAAGAGAAATCATATTAATTGGGCAATTCTTTCTGCACCACGTCAAATTTCGACCTGCACTCCTATCAAATATATATATTAATTAGTGAAAAACATGTCCTACACGTTTATATTTTTTAATAATAATAAAATTATTATTATTATTGCTATTATACTTATAAAATTAAATGTAAATAAAAAATTTTATTTTGTAAGTAACTTTTTAATTAAAAATGATTAAATTTAAAAAATAATTAAATTTAAGAAAACGATTACTTAAAAGTTGGTAAAATAATTATTTTAATTTAAAAAATTTTGTTTGAAAGATAAAACTAAAAAGCAAATGTTAACCAAAAAACAGAAAAATCCTCTTTTATATATATATATATATATATATAGAATCCTTTTTATAATGTATTATCATGATACGATTTTCCTGGTCTTTTCCGCTTTTATCAGTTCTTGACACCATACTGGTTGTTCTTCTCTGCCACTTTTTCACCAACCACCGCTTCTTCTACTTTCTCACTTTTCCACCGCAGTTCTTCCACACAACCACCGCTTCAGGTCTTTGTTCTACCACTTCTCCACTCACACTTCTTTTTTCTTTTCTCTCGCTTCACACAACACGATGGGTTTGTGCGTCTCTATATATAATTGCTTCACTTATGCTTTGTTTTTTAGTGAGTACGGGGAGATAATTTAAATGGATTTAAGTGAATTTGAAGGTAATTTTTTTGTTGTTTTTTTTAGTAGATTTGTTAGTAATTGAGAGTGGATTTGGAAGTAAAATTTGTGAGAAATTCATCTGACAAATTTAAAAAATTAGTTTAATTGGTAGAAATTAAATATTACCAAAATGTCCCTAAGTAATATAAAATGTTATTTATTAAAGTTATATTTAATTGTAAAAATGTTTATAAAGAGACCAAAATTATAAATAAATTTTAAAATTAATTTTTAAAAATTATAATGTAGTAAAATGAATTTATTTTTAAATGTAGTATTTGTTTGTAATATAATTTACTACCAAGTAGTATCAATTTATTTGTTACGGAAGTAAGATTGATTAATTTTAAACAAACATATAATTAAACGAAGTTATAATATTACATGACCTAAAAAAAAGTGTCAACATAATAACAAACAAATATATTTGTAATAGTTCATGATGACCTTGCTTCAGTGAGGTATCATTGCAATCTATTGAAACAATATTGTATTGGCATCCCTATTAGACGTCTTGTATGGGATGAATGCGAAGATAAAAAGTCAAAGCACTGTCTGAATAAATTATGATCTTCAATGTTCATAGTCCGTAATAAGTTTTCAATTTCTTCTGTAGTTAGATTAGATGATTGAATCCTAGCATTTACCAGGGATATTTGACGCTCCATGGCATGTGTGTGTCGTTCAAGAGCAACGCATAGTCTTCTTCTTTGATTATTTACTTCTTGCAGTTCATCTATGATTCGAGAATCCATGTGATGTGTATTTCATTAAGTTGACCAATAAATAAAAGTATAAAAACTGATGTCAAAGATTCCTAAGATTAAAAAATAGGTAATGTAAGTTATCAAACACATAAGTCAATTTAAGCAAAAAAGTCATGTAATACATTCTCGGAATAATTATCAACTAAACCATCTAAATGGTGAAGAATTAAGTTAACATTTTGATTCAGGTGAGTAAATTGGCGGTTCATGTCGAGGGATAGGTTTGCCAAGTTATCTTCAATACATTGAACTCGCACTTGCATTTGTTCCATACCCTGCATTATGTGTTGCAAGTCTTGTACCCCCTCCCATATTTGAGTCATCATATTAGGATTTGAAAGATGTGGAGGAGGTTGCACAGGGTTGTCATGATGGTGTGGTTGCTCTTCTTCTTCATCATCACCGACAGCGTGTTGCCAAACACCGTTGACATTAACAATATTCAACATCTTCAAAGAATTTATTGAAAAATGATGTTTGGTCCCAATATGAGTGTTGGCATCGACATCAACATGTACTCCACAATATTGCATGATTTGGGTGATCAGGACACCATATGGTAGGGGTGTGTCACTGGCCTTGCATTTAAGCATATGTTGCATGATGTGATGAGGCCAATTGATAGTTATATTATTTTTAAGCACCCATATCATAAAGATATCCTCTTGCAATAACTTTTCAAAATTTCCAGGTCATGGAGTTAGCATGTGGATAATAACATAATGCAGAAGTCTATCGTTAATATTCAAACACACAATTGTTTTAAGACGTTGACCCTGCATTTCTGGTCTAACCATAGTAGCTAATGTCATCTCCCGATCATACGAAAAGTCATCTGGGACATTTGAATAAGACAATTTTTGACCCTCATACTTCATATTAGCAACATTTAACCAATCAACAAGTTTCAATATAATTCTTCTCTTGTTGACCTCACTGAGCAAATATCCATTTGCAGAAATCTTCAAATTTGAATAAAAAACTTTGATCAAATTCGGATAGAAGGGTCCCTGCAATGTCATAAATTCGACGACCCCTTGAAATAGAAGATGATGTTGGAAAAATAAATCTGAACCGGCAAATGATTCGAAATTCATTATCTTTGGACCAACAATATTCCTTGTGTAGAAATCAGCTGCATAGTTTTCCATTTGATGGCTGAGTGAAGAAACGATGTTGATCTAATTGTTCTGCAACAGATGGTTTGGCATAGGTCGCAAACACATTTTGAGTTGGCCAATCTTTTCTTCCTCGAAATCTCGGAGCATCACATCTTGGCACCTTTACACGAACATGAGTATCGTCTATGACCCCTAAACAATCCTAAACATACAAATAAGAAGTCATCATAAAACTCAAAATTTGTTATCATCCTTTGATCAAAGAACATCTACAAATATGTTGAAATGAGTACCTTAAAGTACAAGTAAAATCGATTCTTGTTCAAGACATATGAATGAACCTCATTTCTTAAGGGTTGAATTAGAAATTCAGATTCCAAAGTTAAGATAGCCTCCAAGACATTGTGAAAGTGTTTGCTAACCATCGAACCAGATCGATGAAAGAAAAATGCGACACTTCGATTCTTAACATTATGGCCAATTATATGAAGAAATTGAGCAACTTGTTGCTCCACTGTCAACCGAATGTCGTTCTTAACTAACCCAGTTGATCTTAGTCTCTCACAAAGATTAATAAATTCCTCTGGACCCATCCTAATAATGTCGTGAGACCGATTAATATGCACAAGATATGACATTAATTGCTCCCTACGACGGTCTCTGTCTGGTAGGTAATTGCTTACACTACTCGAATCACTCGAGTACATATTCAAGATACTCAACGCGTGTGCAACAATGCATAACATTGTTAGCAGTCAATGAAGTGGTTATTTGTAATTGTGACGTATCATTGTGATAATATTGAAGTTTACACCAACCACATCATCATCTATATCTTCACGGTCCAAATATGATAAATTTATTTCTTCTTCCATCTATATTTACTTAACAAAATACATACAATTTAACAAGTTTATACATACAACTAAAA